TAAATTTATAATATAAAAATATAAATTTATAAAATAAAAACATAAAAATATATTAAAATCACATATTTATTTGTTATTTTCAATAATTAAAACATAATAATAGTGTATATATATATATTTAATAAAATATATAATATGTTTCTTTCTCCATTTATTTTTATTTATTTTTATTTATTTATTTACATTACTTTTTGTTAGAATATCTTTTCGACTTTAATATATATATATATAATAATAAATTATTATATATATATATTTTGAATTAAATATTTATTTATATATCTATTTAAAAGAATAAATTAAATTTAATATAAACCATATAGCCAAAACCAATCCTTTTTAAATAAACAAATACATAAAACAAATCTTCGAACTTCTTATCAAAACCAAACACTTTTCTTGTTTTGACATTATACTTTTAATAAACTATAATTCGTTTAAATTAAAAATATAAAAAATATATAATAAATAATCCTATATATACAATAATAATTTAAATCACTCTACTATCTTTCTTTCTATTTTAATTTTACCAAATATTTAAAACATAATAATCATTTAATTAATATTAAAATTAATTTATTAAAATTGTAAATACAATCAAATATAATAACAATGGAAAAAATATACACAAATGTAAAAATCCATTCTTTCTTTAAAATAAATCAAATTATACAAAACATATTAGAAAATATTATTTATACTAGTGGGGGCCCGCTGCTTTCCAGCAGCGTGCGAGATGAAGCCCATGGCAAGAGAGTAACAGAATCAAAACATGAAGTAAAAAACATTCCAATTTAACACTTATAGTTAGATATGCACGATCATATTCACAGAGACAGAAATAGGCAGATCGAGCAAGTGCTTGACAAAATGCGGCTTCGAAATATTTCGGGAAAATACATGATTGCGATTTTGAGCCTTTATCTTAGACCCTACCCAAGCAAAACACTTCGAAAGACTATGCACTGCATTGAATTGGAGACCCAATTCTGGAGACCAAATATCTAAAGACGAATTATAGATGGAACTTCTCAGCAGCATTTCAGTATACTTCCTAAAGCACTGCGATACACAAAGCAACAGTGTGTCTCAGGTGCTCGATACCAGCGTGTAGTCATTTAATGAATAAAAGGCGGTCGTCTAAACAAAGGGAGAATGGACCCATAGACTATTAGCCTCAAAAAATCCATCCCCATATACAATTGCTGCAACACACATAAAAACACCATCGACCAAAAAACATCCTAAATACAAGCAAAGCCGAACTAATTTCGCTCAAAACATTAGGCAAAAACCCCGCTAATCATCATAATTGGTTCTCACATCGTCAAACTCTCGTAAAACGGGCGCAATATTTCCACCAAAATAGTAATAGAATATCTAAGTAAGCTATTTTTCCAACCTCCCAAAAACATCCTTCATTAATATATTCTACCGCCCGAAAATCTTTTGGTTGTTGTTTCTGTCCGGTTTTCGGATACGTTATATGGGCTTGTTTTGGTTGAAAGATTTATGGAGGAATATAAAATACTTTTTGGAGGAGTGGAATAATTTGTTTTGAAATTGGAATCGAATCCTTCCTTTTTAATGTTTTTTGATTTAGTCTGAAAAAGGTTATTATAAAAGGGTATCTAAGTAATTGGCCGACTGTGGCTTGGCTTAAGAGATTCGAGCATATACTTCTTTAGGTTAATCGAAATCGCATTGGCGTGGCCTGTTGTGGAACTTTGGAGAATGGCAGCATGTTTTTCGCATGCGACGAGTATACATTTTTTTGATATATATATATATATATGAAATAATAAAATATGTTGGTATTTGAATTGCAAAACATATCTTGTCGGCACGGGCTCTTAAGATTTGTTTTGGTTTTGGCACACCCAACTTACCCTTAATTGTTGGTTTGGATTGGTGGTTTGGGGATTGAACTCCTAGATTATGTTGAAGATGAATGGGAAACCACCTCCTAATCTCCAAAACACCGATCCAAATTATTAATCCAAACCGGGCCGATAGCAACCCGGAGTGCCCAGTCCAAAGAGGGCCGCCGAAAACTTGCAACCACTCCTGGCCGCGGGCCAGAATACATCCGTCGTGGAGGGCAAGGAAAGCGGCGGGGCAGCGCCGAGACAAGCGCGTGACAAGCCGTTTTCCACTGGCTCGCTCCACTGGGCGAGGGCCCAGGAAACAAGCGGCCAGCGGCGCGCGTGCAACTGGGGCGCGCACAGCCGAGAACTCGCATGCGCGTTCTTGCAGCCCGTCTGCATTACGGCTCTCAGGCTTGGAGTCGGACGCATGCGCGTGCGTAGGCGAAGCTTGTAGTGTCTGTCTCTGTCTGTGTTTGTGTCTGTGTCTGTGTCTGTGTCTGTGTCTGTCTTTGTCTCTGTCTTTGTTTCTGATTTTGTGTTTATCTTTGTTTGTGTTTTTGTTTTTCTGTCTCTGTTTGTTGGTTTGTTTGTTTATTTATCTGAAATTGATATTACACAGGTTAATTTTTATGAATTTATGAAATTTATTTGATATTATATAGATTAATTATTATGAATTTACAAAGTTTAGTGCCCATTTTTTATATTGTCGAAAGAATTAGAATAATTTTGATGGAAATTGGAGGATATTGTGTTTAGGTGTGCGTAATACTTAAGAGTAATGTTTAAACAATATTATGTTTAAAATTATATAATTGGATTGTTTTAAGTCTAAATAATTTAATGATAGAGGTTGTTAATATGTATCACAAACTGTGAGACGCATTGAGGGCCGGGCTAGTCGTGATAAGGCCAATAAAAAAACGGTCGCCTGAGCAAGGTGAGAATGGATCCGTGGATTATCAACACAATTGTCATAACGCGATCGACCAGAAAATATCCTAAATGCAAGCAAAATCGAACTATTTCGCCCTAAGCAATGGGAAAAAAATACCCTCAATCATAACAATCGACCGCGGCTCACAATTTCTCATATCGCCAAATTCTCGGAAAATAAACCAACATTTCAAGCCAAATTACTATAAACAAACAAATATTACACTCCAAACCATTTTTTCTAAAAATATACTCTTTCGAATACGAAAATATTTAAAATATACCGAAAAAATAATTCCCAAAATATTTAAAATATTTCGAAAAAATAATATATATCTATGATTTCCCAAAAAAATATAAACTATTGCGGAAAATTAGTGCCCACAAAGATACAATCATTATACCTTCCGAATTATTAATAAAACTAATCCAAATACATTGTAGTTAACGATCCATAAAAATTCTAAAAATATCTTTCAAAAGCAACCCGAACCAATTTTCCAAAATACCCGTTTTTTTTTTGCATAACCAATCCCAAAAAGAACACATATGCAAATACAACAAACAAATTTCACAATTTCATTTTTATAAAATATATAATTATATTTAAACAACTATTTACAAACCATAATATTTATATCTAAACTTAAATAATTTATTTTATATCAAAAAATATCAACCAATCAAATTATTATTTTTTAAAATAAATCAATCAATTATATTCATATTATCCCCACCATTTCTATCATTATCTATATTTAATTAAATTTACATATCAAAAAATCTATTTTTTTAAGTACACAATTATAATTTATCATTTAAACCTTAAATTCCTTTTATATCCAATTAATATCAACAAACACCATAACAATTTCAATAATATAAATAAATTCATTTATTTTCTTTTCAAAATAATACACCATTTTAATTCTATTTTGTTTTTTACTTTAGTGTTGCTTTTATCGTCGGGAGGAATACGAGCCTCAAGCAGGCACAGCCCAAAATCACTCCAAAATTTGGGGTCTGTCGCGCCCTTGTCCTACGCAAACAGGGCAAGGATAAGATGTGTGATGTGTGCTTTTGTGGCGTGCGAACGATGACAGTTGCGCAACAAGAGCAAGCCAGAAGACGAGCAGCCGGCCATGGCTCGAAACACCGATTTTGACAGCTACCTGGCTGCCGTGCTTTAGAAGCGAATGCTCGCTGAGAACGACGTGAATTTTGCTCTCTGTTGCAAAGGGCGACAAAGTTGCCGACAACGCGTTCGCTTCAGTGTTGAATGTTGCCTGCAGGCCTGGCGTCCGGCATGGCGCCACTAAGGAACCAAAGATGCGGGCAATTGTCTTGGGCTCGTCAGCCGTTTGGCTGTAAACAGAGAGACAAAAAGGATCGTCACCAGTGCCCCTTGCTCGTCTTCGACTTTCGTCCAGGGTCCCGAACCGGGTTGCCCTCGCTTCTTGCTTGGCTTTGCCCTGCGGAGTCCCCTCGTTTTCTTTGCTCGTTGATCTTTGGGGCTTTGGTCCGCGGGGTCCCTGACTGGTCCCTGGCGCTTCTGTTGCCTGCATGCCCGATGTCCCATCATTTGGCAGCGGGAGCTCTTGTGTGTGAGCCCAAATCAAAAACAGTCGAGGGAAAGCTGGCAAGTCAGCTGGTTCCCTGGCCGTGCCAAACGCGCGGCAACTAAATTGCAGCCCGGGCCACAGGACTCTGAATTTGATGCCGGTCAGTCAGCTTCTGATTCAAACACCCTCTCCACAAAGTCCAACAAATCAATTGACATAAGTGCAAGTGAAAGGTTCATGACTCATGACCTTTAGAGGAGCAAGTGCCAAACATGACCTTACCACCAGCATGTGGAGGCGCAAAGGAAATGCCAACCATGCAGCTCAAACCCAGGCTCCAGAACTGTGAAATCCAAAGTTCTGAGGCCGGAGCCCAGCTTCGACGAGCTGCTTCTTGTGCAGCTGCAAAGGCCGCCCATGTCGTTTGGAGAGCCCTGGTCTGCTTTGCCAGCGCATCAGCCTGCATGTAGCAAGACCCCGTATCTGCAGCCAAACATGTAAAGGTGCGAGGCATGCTAGCAACACAGGTTGGGCAAGATGCACCCACTCAGTGTGGTTAACGTGTAGCATTGTTGGCTGGGTGACAGGTGTCAACAAACAAAATGTTCGCGCGCCCTCAGAAATCATGAGAGCCTTTTCCTGCAATGGCACGGACTGCTTGCATTATGCCTCATCCCGTGATGCCCGTCCAAACTTTGCATGAGCGCACATCATCTGCTTTGCAGATTGCACGCTTTACCTCATGTCTCACATCGCGTGAAACAAGCTGAGTGGGCCTGGTCCAGGCTCATGCAGGGCGATCTACTGAAAACATCTGAGAACTTAAATCAGGTCTCCAGATAAAGACTTGGTGCCGCTGCGATTTCCGCATCTGGTTGCGCCAGGCTCTTTAAAGCAACGGACAGAACGTATGGACGCTTGACCTGCTGCCTGTCGTTGTCCAGCTCTGGACGCGCCGCTTCATCCTGAATGGCATCAGCCACCCGCCGCGCCAGCAGTGCTTGAGACTCTTCAGTCTGCGTGATGCACCCCAAAAGCTCATCAGACCGGACAAAACCTGCAACGCAATTCTCCAGTTCCTCCCGGGAGTGGCGGTGCGCTGCAAGGCTTGACCGCAAGTCAGACAGCCGCAAAGCCGTCTTGCTGCGCTCTCGGCTCGTGTCTGGCAAAGCCCCGGTCGGTGGGTGGGCAGCGTCGGTCGGAAGCTCGCGATTCTCGCGACGCGCGGAGCTTAGGGCGTTCACCTGCAATGCCGGAGACGGTGACACACCGCGCGCCCCGAAAGCCGAAATCTCGGGCCGCGCACCCGATCGGCCAGGGTGGGTCAAGGGCACTTCCTCCACAGCCTCGCCATCTGCTTCCAAGTGCACTCGCAGGTCGCGGAGCTGAAAGGCAGGGGAGGCTCTGTTCATATCTGCTGGTTGAGTTGGAGGTTCCTGCGAGGCTTGGTTGCCGAAACTTTGGACAGCCGAATGCTGAGCATCCGGGGAATCCGGGGCAAGGGTCAGATCCTGGCGGTGCAAGTCTTCCTCCCCATCTTCCACATCAAGGACGCGAAACTCGCGCAGCCTCCAAGCTGGGGATGCCTCTGCCCGGCGAAAATCGGGCAGCGACCACACGGATGTCTCGGTGGCTGGCTTCATTGCCCCGGCCCTGGATTGGTGGAGTTCCCGCAGCTGCAAGGCGGGCGATGCCAGTCCCTCGGGGTGAGCACTGCCCTCAGTGACCTGCTCGGCAGAAGTTTCCTGCACAGGCAGCGCCCATCCTTAGAAATTGCACACACTCACAAACACAAATGCCACAGAAACACACAGACAAACCGACACACAAACCCACAAACATACAAACACAAACACAAACACAAACACAAACACACTCACACACACAGACACACACTCACTCAGACACAGACACAGACACAGACACAGACACAGACACAGACAGAGACAGAGACAGAGACACACACACGCACACACACACACACACAGACACACAGACACACAGATACACAGACACACAGACACACAGACACACAGACACACAGACACACAGACACACAGACACACAGACACACAGACACACAGACACACAGACACACAGACACACAAACACACAGACACACACACACAAACAAACAAACAAACAAACAAACAAGCACACAAAGACACACACACGCATTCACACACGCGCACACACACACACACACAAAACGTACACACACACACACACGCACGCGCACACACACACACACCCACACCCACACACGCGCGCACTCACACACACACACACGGACACACACACACACAAACACGCACTCACGGACACACAGGCGCACGCACATTCCCACACACGCGCGCACGCACACACGCACACAACAAAAAAAGGACACACACACACACACAATAAACACAGACACACACACACACACACACCCACGCGCGCACGCACGCACGCGCGAAAGCACGCACAAACACACACACACACAAACCCACACACACACACACCCACACACCCACACACCCACACACCCACCCACCCACCCACCCACGCACGCAGGCACCCACGCACGCACGCACGCATGCACGCCCACCAACGCACGCACGCACGCACGCACGCTCGCACGCGCGCACGCGCGCACGCACACGCACACGCACACGCACACGCTCACGCACACGCGCACGCACGCGCACGCGCACGCGCACGCGCACACGCACGCACGCGCACGCGCACGCGCACGCACACGCGCACACGCGCGCACGCGATCACACGCGCACACGCGCACACGCGCACACGCACACACGCACGCACGCACGCACGCACGCACGCACGCACACGCGCACGCACGCACACGCGCACACGTGCACACGCTCACGCACACGCACACGCACACACACACACACACACACGCACACACACACACACCCACCCACACTCACCCACACACACACACGCACACACACACACACACACACACACACACACACACACGCTCACACACGCTCACACACGCGCGCACATGCTCAAACATGCTCAGACACGCTCAGACACGCTCACACACACACACACACGCTCAAACACGTTCAAACACGCACAAACACGCACAAACATGCAAACACACAAACACACAAACACACAAACACACAAACACACAAACACACACACAAACACACAAACACACAAACACACAAACACAAAAACACACACACACACGAACACAGACACACAAACACACAGACACACACAAACACGCAGACACACACACACAAACACACAGACACACAGAAACGCACACAGAGACACAGAGACAAAGACACACAAACAGCCAAACACACAAACACACACACAGACGCACATGCACACACACACACACACGCATGCAAACACACAGGGACACAGACACAAACAAACGCAGACACACACACACACACTGATGAAGCGACACAGAGACGCAGACACACTCAGACACAGGCAGACACACACACACACACGCAGACACAGGGACACAGAGACACAGACCCAATCGCAACATTCGAAGACAAGCGTACGCAGACACACGCACACACACAGAGATCACACAAACAAACACCCGGACACACGGCGCAAACACACACACGCACCACAGAGCCTGTGAGACACAGAGAGGCAGAGACAAACGCGCTGAGACTCAGACGGAAAGACACTCACACACACAGACAAACACACACACACAGACACAGACACACAGAGACGCGTGCAGAATGACACGCTCACGGACACCAAAAGACGCACATAGACGGGCAAACGCGACACGCGAAGGGACACGCGAAGGGACGCCGCAGAGTGAGCCGGAGAGAAACACAATCGCAAACATCCGCGCACACACACGCACACACACACACACAAGCGCGCGTGCCTGCCCACCCCACCAGACCCCCCACCCAATTCCTCCCCGCCCCGCCCTCTGTCCGCAGGCTCTCTCTGTCACAGGCTCTGTCACAGCCGTCTGTCGCATCTGTGTCACAGGCTCTGTCACATTCACTTCTGTTTGTTAGATCTTTCTGTCGCAGGCTCTGTCGGCGGGTGGACGGCCGGCTGTGGAGGCCCGATGTCACTTAAAAGTTCGACAAACCTGTCGGGTGGGCAAACCATGCTACACACACAAACGCGCACACGCACACAAGTGCATGCATTCAAACACCAGCATAACGGCAAACAATGCAAATCAACACACAAACACGCAAACAAGCCAACAAACAACCAAACAAACAAACAAACAAACAAAATTCGCCTCGGCCCCCAAGAAGGCCAAGGGCGAGGGGTTCGCCGGCGTCCAACTCCATGAGCCAATTGTTGTCGCAAATGCGCTGGGCAAAAATAAGCTTTTAGTCCCAAAAAGCAAGACCTCCTGCTGGCCAAGCCTGTCTGACTGACGTGTCTGAGACCCCCAGGCAAGGTCCAGCCCAGGCCCAACCCACCCACGCAGGGACACGTCAGACAAACCTCTCAACCTGACATTTTCGAGACTAGACTCACGTGTCTGAGGCTAGAAGGGGCCCAGCCCAGTGTCTGCAGGCTCAGCCCGACCAGCAACCACCCAAGCAAGGCTCAGCCCAGCCCGCCCCCAGGCTCTCACCGACCAATCCAGGCCCAGCCCTTTACCTCGGGGATGGGCCCATGACATCAATTGGTCCAACGAGTACTGAGTACCTGTCCATGCCTGAATCGCCACTTGACCAGCTCTGCTGCTTGCAGTTGAACCACAGACGCTGCGCGCTCGGCTGGGCCGAGGCCGGCAACGCGCAGCGTTTACAATAAAAATTGGCCAACAGCAGCCTTCACATAGTTAGCAGACACTGATGATGCGCAGCGAGAAAATATGGACTAAGGGGGCTTGATTGAGACTGGGCGAACTTCGGAACAAAGGCTGCCAAGTGATAACATGCCCGCAGGGGGCCTACCAGTGGCATGGACGCAGGTGACGCAGAAGCTATGTAAGACTTGAGACAATGTTTGCCACCTTCCCATGCTGTGGGTACTCTGCAAAACTAAGCCTCCCAACCGTGGGGCTGTGCAGCACTCCGAATTTCTTTGCTCACCGAAGCACAAAGGGACCGGGGCCCTACAAAAGTCTTCCTGCCACGATGCCTTGCGATTGCAATGCTTTGAGCGAAGTTGCGTGCATCAATGCAGCCTCGCTTCGGCCTTCATCTTCCGCCTCCGCCTCCGCCTTTGCCTCTGGCTCCTCCATATCCAGCTTGCCTTTAGCAGTCCTGGCCGTCAACCTTTTGGGAATAGTGGCAAGCCTCAGCCACACATCCCAATCCCAAGAACACGCCTCGCCATGCCAAAGGACACATGTGCGCAAGCGGTGCAAGCAAGCCACCAAATGGCAAGCACAATGCCGACCCCAGCAGCCAAACCACCCGCAACTCCAAGATGCTCTGTGCCCTGGAGGGGTTGGTTCTTCAAACAACAGACATAAACTCAAGGCCTGGAGGGCGAGGCCTGGAGGCCCTGTGGCTGGCCATAAAAAACACTTGAGCTCAATTTTGCGTGCAGCAAACATCACATTAAACAAAACACATTTGTACCTTGTGCGCCTTCCCTGCCTGATAGTTGCTCGATAGCAGCGCCGGCAGCGATGTGTCGCTGCTGGGACTTGACGTCGTCTCCATAATTTGGCATGTCAATCGTGGAAAGCGACGTCTTGCATCGAACTACTCCAGCTGAATGGGCCTAAGCAGCCTAAAAAGAGACAAAGCCAGATGCTGCGAAATCAAGCCGGCACCTTGAGACAAACATCGATCATGTCTCATGCATGATTGAGCTTTGCATCTTCTTGTCTAATTGCATTTGCGACACCTACCCTCTAAGACTCTACGGCACTCTACGGCCCTTGCTCTTTCGACACCTTCGGTTGGAATGTTTGGCGGGATCGTTCACTTTGCTGGCCACCTAAATGCTTGGGTCACCCTGCTCCAATCAAGCCCGGACTTGCAGGTTCAGCTTTGAGGCCACAAATTGCATGCCTCGGCGCTGCGGTTGAGCTTCGGCTCTTGGCCATCCAGCCTCAAATGCGCCAACAGTTTCCTCTGACCTCCCCAATGCAAGCGCTAAAGCCGAACTGAAGCAGGCCTCAAGCTTTCTTGGTGGGCCGTTGCTTGAAGTCGCTTGGCGGTCTCCTGAAGCCTTGGGAACATCGTATTTCTATGGTATTTTCACTATGTATGATGACAGGCGCAACACAAGTGCCAGGCCAAGCGGCACATTGCGCTGCCAGGTGCTCAAACAACGAGAAGCCAGCGCAAGAGCCTGCTTGGATTCCATTGCCTGGTGCAAAACCTCAGTTGCTCCGGAGATTTTTCCTTAAACGCACACAGCAACTGGAGGCAAGAGACGGTCTTCAGTATCCGCACTTGTCTCTCGCGGTCTGCGAGCTTTGCCAAAGCATCTTTGTCTTTTTTCGCGCTGGCCGCAATCCTTGGATCTCGCTTTCAGCACTTTCAGCACATCATAGGCCCTGGCAAGTCAGGCTATAAAGATCACCAGGGCGTTGCTGCCACGGGGCGCTGCCAGCTGCCAAGCACGCAAACACCCGCGGAGACGCATCGCATCGTACATCTGCTGCTGCAGGGCAAGCAAGGTACTTCTCTGCTCAGACTGTTGCCAGCAACCCGTCTTGAATACCCAAAAGCCTTGACCAATTTGCTGAAACGCTTTCTGCACTCCAACTCTTCCACCTCCTATTCTGACATTTTGGCCATGGCCTCGACCCCATAGGCTTTGCGTGCACAAAGCGTGCACCAGGAGCTCACACAGTTCACCAGCAGGATGGAGTGCCGGGAGTGCTGCAACTTGGAAAGAAGCTTAGCCACTGCCTGGCGGCCCCATGCCAGGCTCTCTCTCTCCAAGCAAGGCATCCGGCGTCCGACTGACTGAATCGCCTGCTGGAGAAGCTCCTGGGCCGCGGCTTTCCCACGCCTGAGGCCCGGAGACTGAACAGCGCGTTTTGAGAGCCATGCAGACCAGCGGCACAAGGCGACGCCAAGCGGAAAAGCAGCTCAGCGCCAGCAGCACGTCTTCCACCTCAACTGTGGTGGAGAGCCTTTTCAGCAGCCGATCTTTCAGCTCGTTGGCAGCTTCGAGCTTTTTCCTCCGGTCAGCATCTTGTGGCATAACTACCGGATTCGTAGTTGGCAGCAGCTGGCCAGCTGCCTCCCCTTAGCCCACACCACCCCTTGTCCTCAGCTCGTCTTCCAGGTCCTCCTGCAAACCTGAGTGGCATACCACATTTTGGGATGGTGTAGGCTCACCCTCTGAGTCATGTCAAGCTCTCTCTCTCTCTCTCTCTCTCTCTCCTCTCTCTCTCTCTCTCTCTCTCTCTCTCTCTCTCTCTCTGTCTCTCTCTCTCTCTCTCTCTCTCTCTCTCTCTCTCTCTCTCTCTCTCTCTCTCTGGGCATCAAGCAAAATTGCATGGAGTCCCGGTAGGTTACAGAACGCTCTTCCTCTTTCTCCTGCACTATGTCAACGGGTCTGAGGCCAGCCCCAATCCAGCCAGCCCCCTCCTGCCGCAGTATGTCCATTCGTGTTTCAGCAAGGCTCAAACCTAAGCCCATGCAAAGTGCAAACATGAGAGCTCATGACTGAGTAAGCGACGTTCCCTTGCATCCCTCGCAAACTCCGCTTCCTCCATAGCTTCTGCAAGGTCCACTTGCAGCTCTGCAGCTGTTGCCTCCAAAGCTTCCAGCGCCTCCCGATCTTTGGCCCACTCTGCAGCCTCCTCCAGTCTTTGCCGCTCTGCACACCGCGCCTTCTCGCGCTCTGACTCACACAGCTGACAAAACTTTTGTTGCGCCGCGGGTGAAGCCTCACCCTCCGAATCCCAATGGGAAGAAGGATCCAGTCTGGTCACTGTTACCTCCTCTGCAAACTTGCTCTGGCTCTCGGTTTGTAGTGGCTCGTCGGGGTCGGGCTCACTGGAAAAGCTCGCCCGCAAGGAGGTTCTCCTGACGAGCGCCAGCCTTTGCAGGGCGTCGTCCCTCTCGCCGCAGAGCCGGTCAATCTCCTCCAGCGCCTCCTGCATCCGCTCCTGCAGCAGCTGCACGGGGTCGAAGGCCACAGGCACCTCCGGCTTGGCCACCGGGCTCTCCGGCGGGCTCCGCGTGCGGGGGCTCCGGGGGCTCTTGGGGGTCCCAGGCTCCGGCTCGCTCTCGTAGATGTTGTGCTCCTCCTCGTCCACCTTCCCAAGCTCCGACACAGCCGAGGCAACCAGCTGCCGGACGAGGAGCCAATTCTTCCGCGCCCCGGGCGAAGGGCTAGGCGAAGGCTCCTGCTCCGTCTTTGGCCCAGGGGATTCGATCCGCAACGGGGGCAAATCCCCCATGTCGCCATGGCCGTCCTGACGTTCGGCTGAATCACCAAATGCTACATCGGACGTGACGCCACAAGCCCGTGATCTGTGCTGCAGAATGCATGCCATTACTCTTTTACCCAGGATGCAGGGAACAACTCTTACATCCTCAGATTTGGCTGTGCCACAAGCACACGAGGAGAAATGAGGAGAAATCATGCGGTTCACCTTTCAGGCTCTCACCCCTGAGCCGACCCGGACCGCATGTTGCAGTGTCCTATGCCCGTGCAGTGCGTCAATTACACCAGGTTGCAGCGCAACCAGCCAACGCGCGTCAGCCATGTTTCTTCGGCGCACGCGCCGCTTACATCGAGCATTGGCACCAACATTGACATGTGCCTACTGCGCTTGTCACAGAAGGCCCTTGTGGCCGCATGCCGCCCCGTTACGGGGATGTAGATCCGCGAGGCCATCCAATTCAGCAGCCAGCTCTGCCCATGTGACCTGAGTGACCGAAACATGGCGACCCTCTTTTCGTTTGGCGCACGTTGCGCTTGGGAAAGTGCTTCTTGCAGACGGGATAAATCCGCCGCGCGGTTTTCCATTCAGCCACACTTTGCCATTTTCGGTTCGCCGTCCGCCTCTCCAAAATCCTTGGGGACAATCGCTCTGAAGGACCAGACTTGTTTTGAGACCCAAGTTTTGGGAGCCCTTCTTTGCCTTCAGGAAAACCTCCCAGAAGTGTGTAGGTTTGCACTTGTGTTCGTCTTTAGGCGTTGTGCTCAAAAACAGGGCAGCGCGGCACCAGGGGACTGCCGGCCAACTGTCACGACAAGTTTGAGCAGCGGAAAAAATCGCCGCGCTTTCTGCAGAAAAGGGGCCAGAGCTTAACATGTCAGGTAAGAATACGCAGTCTGACAAGGAGTAAAAATGACGTGGACAAAAACGCCGACAAGAAGCCAACGCCGCTTCAATTTTAGCCCCGTGGCACGGCCCAACTGTGGGCCCAGCTAGGGGGCTGGTGCCAGAAGCCATGCGAGCGTGAAGCTCCCACCAGTGATTTCCTGGAGGTCGGTGATCAATGTGGCTCCAACTTGACTATACCATGTGGCTCATCTGGTTTCCGACCAGCAAGATCCAGCAAGATCCCCAAAGGCCCACGACCATGACCATACACGACCATGTCCGCAATGTAAGCCTCAGCCCCTGGCGAGCCAGAGTGCCTCCATGAGCGCAAGCCGGGAGCAGTGGGGGCGCCACCTCAGCTCTCAGCTCACGAATCAAGGGGCTCAAGCACTGATTCGCTTCCCGCCCCAGCGCTACAGATGGACCAGGTGTACAGGTGTGTTCAACTCTGCGGCCCCAGCGCTGTCCAGCAATGCCAGGATCTGGGTTGGACAAACGGAAGGCGCGCTCAGCCGCTCAGCAGCCAGAAAAAAAACACAAACACTTGGAGACTCTGGGGCCAGTGGCAGCTGCCCGCGGCAGTGCGAGGGGCAGAACTCGAGCTCCAGCCAAAGCTGGGGCCTGCTCGAAACAAAACGCTTTGACCCTCATCGCAAACTCCGCACCTCATCGGTGCCTTCGGCCAGTTCCACGCAGGTGCGGTAAAGCCTCACACGATACGTCTGTGCCGTTTGTGCCTTCTTGGAACCCGCAGTTTTCAGCTGGCCCAGGAATTTCTACCCCAGTGACCGCTCGAACACATGTGAACACGCGTATATTGGTTTGAGAGGCAATGCGACATGGGCATCATGTAAAAGAATGCCAGGCTCAATGATGGCGAGCCGTCTGGACGCTTCTTTGATTCAAGATGAAGCAAGTCTCTTGAAGACTCTCCGAAACGTATCTCACCAGCGTGTTCCACCAAAGTCCAAGCCTTCAGTCCCGGTCTGGCGGTCAGGACCGATGACGACCTTCTTGCTCTTGCGAGACTGGCGAGTTGAGGTCGCCGCAGGGCCCTCAGCAGGTCGAAGGGCAGCGGACTGCCCCCAGCTGCGCCTTATAAGTAGCTCCGTCGCTCCGTCCAGCCCGTGCCAACTAGCCGACACAGAAAGCCACCCCGCGCGAGCCCACGTTTTGCAAGTACTTCTGACTGCAGTGACAACGGGTGAACGTGATGTACTGTCCACTCATCCTGCAACTCTGCAGGTCTCTGTTCGGCGGAGAGACTGCAGGGCTGAGCACAGAAAACCGCAGTCTAGCCATGCGCCAGGCATATCATTCCACGACTCACCTACGTTCATCTACGTTCTGTGCATTTTGCTCGGATATTCCAAACAGATACCCCCCCACGTGGCAAGGCAACTAACCGCAAGGCCTGGGGCAAACATATCAAACAGCATGCAAGTATCCCAAACGTAGGGGGTAGGTCCGCTTGCGTGAGCAAAGTCCGAATTTTTGCATGCATCCAACAAGTCCTAGGGCTCAGCCTTGCAGCTCACCCCATGGGATCATCAAATAATCCTCGGCGCGGCCAGCTGGCTGGTCCCCCCCCCAAAGGCCCAAATGCCACATCCCCAGTCAAAAACATATGCGTGTGAGCGGTGGCCAAGAGTCTGTACAAGCGCTTGGCCCTGCGATCATCCAACTCCCCCAGCCAGAGTCTCAGCACACAGCTGATGGGTACTGATAAGATGGCGCCTCAGCTCAAGAACTTCAAGCTGGCACCGCAGCTCCCAAAGGCCCCCCCAAAAGCGCCCAAGCTCCAGGCCAGCAATGCCCCAGATGCTACTCCAAAACCTGAGCTCTCCGAAGCTCCCCTGACCCATCTGTTGGCCAGTGCCAATCTCAGGTGCACGCAATAGAGCCACTACAATCGTCAGTGGGTGCAAGGCAAGTCCTTCAGAGGACACCCATGCAAAGGAGACACTGGGGGTCAGGGGCCTTGTGACATGATGTGGGGCTCTATGATGTTTCCGGCGATGTTGTGAACCTGTAGCTGAAAGGCAGCAATACGGGCCCTGCTGCGGTAAGCCACTAAGCCACTGGCCAAAAATTGCACAAGAATGACGACCAGGGTATCTAAAAGCCTTGCGCCGAGAGGCTAACACGGCTTCATGGAGGTCTCTCAAAGACACACACACACAGCCATATAGATGCAAAAGGGCAGCGTGCCATCTGGCTTCAGCCACACGAAAGGAGCCGGGGCAAGGATGGCAAACAGGGGGCCTGCAATGCCGCCACAAAGAAACGCTACTTGCAAAGTGCACTGGAACACTGGCGTTAGCCCTCTTTGTAAAGTCTTACTGCCGCGCCTGGCTCAAAACACAGCTCAAAGGGCTGCAATCCCAAAACGTGGGGAGCTCGTTTGAATCTCTGACCCAATTTCCGTGAAGTCGCAGATCTCATATTACGTGTTCCAGCGGCCTAAATTTGGAATGAAGTTGGTGACGAAGGTCACAAGGCCCCAAACCTGGCAGTGAGAACTGCTGCAACATGTGTGTGTTGTATTGTACTCCCGGTCGCGAACTAAGTGGAGGGCAAGGACCAACGGGACTTTCATCAACCAAAGGGCCAGCATCACGAAGATCTTAGGTGACGTGCAACAAAGCCCCCTGTGGCCTCTGTTTCCCTTGCACCGAGTTGCAGCAATCACAAAGCTGGACACACACTTGCAAATCAAATATCGCTGGACCTGAGCCACTGGTCCGAGGCTACCTGCATGGACAGCGAAGCCGGTTGCATGCCACACAGGCTCAGGGCAAAGCCAATTCCTTGACCGGAGATGCCTTTCCTTGGCAAGTGGCACAGGCTGAGCAACTGGAGATGTTGCTTTGTAGTTCGGAGATCGTGCTGTGTGGTCCAGCCCACTGCAGCTCAAGTGCGGCCAGAGTGGATCTCAGGAAGCATGCCAATCAGGCAGAAAATGAACATCAGCACGCAGAGCATGGTTCCTGCGGCCGCTCTTGAACCTGGATGGCCTATGAACCTGATGCACCTGATGCACCTGATGCATCTGCACGTGACGTGGCACGCATGCGGTCCAGAGATACCACTTTTGCAATGGCCCGCCCCCGTCCTTCCAAGAAGCTGAAAAAAGTGGAAGCAGTCTCAAGCAGATAGCCTCAGATTGGATCAAGCGCAACAGGGCAATGGTACTTTGCAGCCGTCTGCCGGGTTGCTCTTGAATTCGGCTGCCACCCTTTGGAAATTTACGTCGAGATTGCCGTCAACCTTGTGCGGCGAACAGCTGGGAGAGCGGGTCTTTGGACTGAGGGCGCGGCAATTCCCATTCTCTTCAGGAACGTCCTTGCTTCGAACTTCCGCATATCAAACGAGCACTGATCCAAAGCCTTCGAACTATTGCCGAGCAAGCGTCTTCAGGTCGTCAACCTTCGGAGAACCCTCGAACTGACCTGGACAAGCGACTCTGCCGACTCTGCCCATGCCTCAAACCGTTTGCTCCCAAGTGGCTCCAATCAAAATCAGCAAAAACGCGGACCTTGGCTCCCCTCTGCTTTGCAAGATCTGGCAACCGTCATGTGCAGGCAAACCTCTGGTTTGCCACGGGTGCTGGCTAATGCTTCACAGCGGCCACACCGTAGAATATGAAGAACAGCACGGTCTGACACGCGGAAAGTCAGACAAGTAATGCCATGCTAAGTAAAAGCAAGCTTGGGCAACGACCAATAGAGCCGACACAAGCATAATGACGGCCAGAATGCTCCAAATCCTTGGCGTCTTGTTGAGATGTGGGATCCTTTGAAAACGCCCCATAGACCAAAGCCACTCAATTCCGGGATTTCCGGTTTCCAAGCACGGCGCTGCCGCAGCCACACGCCACAGGAGTCGCCTTGCATGGCATAGCTTTTTCATTGCTGGGACGCCGGGACGCCACGTGCGGCTCAGCTTGGGCACTGCAGGACTTCGTGGTTTCCCCATCGCACTCGCTGATTTTGATTGTGGCCTCAGGAACGCTCGGCGGCCCTCCCGGCGGCTAACATCCCGCTCGGGCATCCGACGCCCCCAAAGATATCCATGTCTGACGGGAAGTCGCCCTGCACATCTTCCTAAGTTGGCACAGCCCGGGGCCGGGGCCCTGCAACTTCTCTCCGAGGCTCCTCGTCAGATCTTCCGACTCTGTTCCCAAGGCCGGGATGCTTTGGATGCTTTGTCAGCCTGACGCAGCTAAACAAACACACTGGGCGCACCTCAGATTCTGCAAGCTATTGCCGGCAAACACGCTAGTTTCTGGGGCAATGCTGGAAGAGCGGCCAAACAAAAAATATAACTTTGGCAGGCAAAAGTGTATCTCTCAAAGGATCCCATCACGCTCAAAGCTGACCTTGATCCCTGGGCATCACGCGGTTCGTCAACTGTACGCCACACGGCCACTTTGTGGGCCTTCGCTGATGCCGTGGGCATCTGCGCCACACAGCAAGCCACCTGGCAGTGAAAGAAGGACTTCCAATGCCGCTGGCCGTTTCAGGATGTTGGCATTCGCGCCTAGGGGCCGTGACCAGCAGTGCAAGGACGGGCTCGCACAGAAAAGCCAGGAAAAGGGCGAAGGTGAGAGGCACCTCTGGCAAGGCATTGCACATCAAGCAGCGCAGTCGCAGCATGTCGCAGCAAGCGAGGCAAGCAAGGCTCCAAAGCAAGGCTGCAGGCAATCTCGGTGCAAGACCAGAACTCTTCGCATCCAGAAGAGGAAGTAGACCTGGGGGCTCGCAGGCACGCACAACTGCAGAGTCGAGCCGTCGGAAAGCTAGGGGTCCTGCGCCCACACAGAAGGCAACAAGTACCTCGTATCATGCGCGGCTCTTCAGCCGTGAGCGAAACATGTATGCAGCCAGGATTCCATGCAAATTCCAAGGACGTCTCGAAATCGAGGGCGATTCCTGGCAGCTGCCCAGTGCTGCCCATGCACATCATAGAAAGAGCAGCTCCTGCCTTGCACTGGTGATGCCGGTGAGAAGGCCCTCACCACCTCGGCCGTGTCAGCTTATCCCCGTCTTGCTTTCTCGGGCATACTGAATGCAGCCCGAGTCACTTCCGCCCTCTCCAGTGTCTCCCGTCCCATTTTGGCTTTCAGAGGCTACGATATCCAGAAGAACCTGACAAAAATCTTGGCGAGCCAGTTGGAGGTCGGCACCGCATGTTTCCGCCTCAACTGCTGAGCTCAAGTGAGATTGATCCCCGCGTTCGATAGGAGAGGCCTAACAGGGGCACGTCGGGCCATGCGAACATCATATATCGCGGACTGACACGGCTGGACGACTCGACGCCGGCTCCGGCCGCCGCTGGCGAGCGCTCTCTTGACATCCTTGGTATCTCGAGCTCCATGGCATGGCACCGGCCCGCGCGAGGTCTATGAGGTCGGCTCTTAGCATCTGATGTACTGCGGTTCGAATTATCTTCTTCAGGCACTGCCAAAGTGCTGCTTTGTCTGGACTCAAAGACTCAAAGCCGAGGGGAAATCTGCGCCTCCACTTCAACTTCAGAAAAGCACACCTTCAGAAAAACACAAACACCCACCCTGCTAATTTGTGAGATGATATTGTGCTTTCGCGAGCTCATGTCTGCTCGTCAGGTTGTGAGCAAAGCTTGAGCATCAAGCAACATCCAAGCTTGTCGTCTGACAAGCCCCTGTGTTGACCCTGAATGGCAAGTGCCAATTGTTGATGAGGGTTGTCTCTGTTCAAGGCTGCCGCTTCGCCAAGTGCAGAATAATTGAGGCCCTTGCTCAGAATCCTTCTTTGTAAGGACTCCGTTTGCATAGGACTTGGCATGCACCTGAAGGAAGAGAAACATAAACATCATGGCTTCTGCACATCGCAAGCGCGCCTTGTCGAATCACGTCGCAAATCTCGGAGCTTCCGCCCGCATGGTCTGATTTTGGGCCAAAGTTGGCAACGAAGATTTGCAGAGGCTGTTGACGGCGGGCTTGCGGTCATGACCCTCGCGCTGCAGGGCATCCACTTTTTGCACCCGCTGCTCACCATGCAGACCAAGTCTAATACTAACATCAGCAGGGACAAATGATGTAAAAGGCGCCTTTGATTCTGAGCAAACAAGATCTCAAGGAGCCATCCTGTTTGATAAGCATTGCGTGCAATTAAAGCTGACTTGGTTTCATGTCGGATTTGCAAATCGTGCCTCTCCAAATAAACTCTTGCAACCGCAAGACGGGCAGACTGGCGCTGGCTCAGCCACCCGCATCACCGCTGTCAGCTCAGGAGCTCCTGAGCACAAGCAGGGCATATCCCAGTCGTCTGAAGTCTGAGCAAATCCGAATGTTTTCCTTATGGAGACTGAGCAGCGGAAGTGTTGGCAAGGCACCGGGCTTCATTTCCCGAATGGTAGGCACTCTGAAGACACTGATCTTTGGTGTCTAGCCACAGCCGAGCCCATCCTTGCTGTCGCATCTGTACCCTTTGCAAAGGCACGCCGGTGCAAAACACATCTGCGATATCTGCGATATCTGCGACAGCCTAACGGCTCAGGAGTATGTACAATTCAATCTTCGAGCATCAAGCTCGCGATTTGAGCGCCGTCAGCTTGCGCTTCTGCCGGTCCGAGAGCAGGGCCAGCAGCTCCTCTCACGAGGAGTGTCGAAGCAAAGTGCCTTCGGCAGTTCCCCCGCCTGTAGCGTCTGCTCGGGCATCTGCCGCAAAGCGTCCGCCAGTGCGACCTTCAACTCCTCCCAAGAGGCGCTCACGGGGGAGCTGTTCCAGCTGCCATCTTTCTCTTTCTATTTCTTTTCTGCCCACTCCATCTTTCTTCTCCAAGCACTCCTCATCAAACAAGGCCTTGTTGCCGCAAACCTCGGTGTAGCATTTTGTCCCGTCACTGTTGTCCACTCTTTCTCGTTGTTTTTTTGTTCTTTCCTTGGCGCTCGTAGGGTGGGTTCAGGTTGGGTTCAGGGTTTGCGGGTTCAAGGCAGGAGGTTAAACAAAGGTTTAGGGTGTTTTTTTTTGGGTTGGTTTAGGGCTTAGGGTAGTTTAGGTTTAAGCGCTTACAGGGATTTAGGGTTGGTTTTCGGGTAGGGTTAGGGTAGGTTTAAGGCTGGTTTAGGATGGGTTGGGTGCGTTCAGGGTTGGGCTTAGGTTGGGTGTAGGGTGATTAGGTTGGTTTAGGGTGGCTTGGGCTGGTTTTCAGGGTGGGTTTAGGGTTGGTTTCGGGTAGGGGTGGGCTTAGGGGTGGTCGCTTTGGGGTGGGCTTAACACAGTTTAGGGTTGGTTTAGAGAGGTTCGTGGAGTTTGGGTCGGTAGGATGGTTCAGTTCAGGATAAAGGGGTTTAAGGGTTCAAGGTACGCTCAAAGTAGGCTTACACTATGTTTGGGGCAGGTTAAGGGTAGGTTTGGGTTGCACTTAGGGTGCGCAGGGTGAGGTTAAGGTGGGGCTTAGGGTTTCGGGGGAGGTGAAGGTGCGTTGCTTGCTTGTTTCCTTCTTACTTGCTTGCTTGCTGGTAGTGTTGGTTTAGTTGAGGATAAGCGTGTACGCCCAACGTCGGCTTAAGGTCTGTTTAGGGTAGGTTAAGGACAGGTTTAGGGTAGGTTTGGGGTGCGTTTGGGGTGCGTTCAGGGTGGGTTCAAGGTGGGGGTTGGGGTAGGTTGGGGTGGGTCTGGGGTGCTTGCTTGCTTGCTTGCTTGCTTGCTTGCTTGCTTGCCTGCTTGCTTTTGCTTCCTTGTTTCCTTGCTTGCTTTCTTGCTTCCTTGCTTGCTTCCTTGATTCCTTCTTGCTTGCTTGCTTCCTTGCTTGCTTGCTTGCTTTGCTTGCTTGCTTTGCTTGCTTGCTTGATTTGCTTGCTTGCTTGATAGAAAGTGAGTGGAAAATAATAACGGAAACAAGTGGAACCAATCAAGACAACACATAGCTGCAAACTCACCAGTCTGACACAGCTATCATGACCATCCACCAATTGTAGCCAAACGTCGTCGCAAAGGTATCCCACAGCTCTGGCAGCTGTGCGCCCTTGCACTGCTCCGGACTGCACCTCAGCCAACTCTCTGCTGCGTGCTGTCAGGCTAAAAGATTGGACACAAGTGCAAGTAGTTTGGTGCATGGACATAGCGCCTGAGCAAAGATGCAAGCGTTTAGCCTGGCAAGGCGCAAATCCGCTTGTCAAATGCGACCTCCAACACCTGCCTGCGGCATTCATCGAGGTCCACCTGGCGCCACATGCTAGAATCGAGCATAGCTTGGTTGGAATGGGAAAGACAAAATAAGGCTGCATCAGTGCTGAATCAAGCCAATTATGGATGGCTTGGAAAGTGTGCTGTCGCTCTAGGATGGTAAGTGCTCCAGAACAATGAGCTTGGCTGCAAGCAGGACGACACATCGGACAAATGGCCTTCAAGGCTTGCCGTGCTACACCCGCAGCTGAACAACCCGTTCTATCCGGAATAGCACGCAGGGGTGGCTCTTGCGCTCGCAACAGGCAGCATGGCTTCCAACGGGCAGGCCTTGAGCGGAAGCTCGGCAAAACAGGCTGCCCAGCTGCGTTCGATGTCAGGGCAGGAATTCGGATGCTGCAAGCAAAGCTGGGTGAATGCCGCGACAACACCTCAGTCCCACCACTCCGTGCAGGAGACGCTTCTACCCCCCCTTTCCCCCGTCCCCCCCTCGAGAGCTGAGGTTTCGGCTGTCGCCGGCTTTGGAGGCCTTGTCTTTCCTCCGGCTCCGCGTGAAGCTCTGGAAGCTGCCAAAGGCCCGGCGCGCCAGGGCCGCGAAGGCGGGGCTCCGCGCCGCGAGGTTCACCGCCGCGGCGGCGGAGCGCACCGCGTCGAGGTCCCCCGCACCTAGTGCCTGTGCAGGCGTCGGACGCCGGATGTATACTTGATATAGCCGGATTGGAGAAACATCTACAAAACATCCAGATTCCATCAGACTCGGACACCCGGAAATTCGGAGCTTCGGACCTGGAAGGCCCCCTATAGGGGATCAAAGACTCAGCGGAGCGTGAAGGGGCCGAGCTGCATCAAGCACCTGATCCATGAAGCTGGGCCATAGCGGCACAGCCTTCTCACCCAAGCGGCAAACCTCGCAGACCAAGCGCAAGCCCAATCTGATTCCTGGTGGCCCTTGGGTGAACCACTGCTGCAGCAAGGCATGCAGCGCCGGCCACGCATGCGATACGAAGGTGTCTGCATCCGATTTCATGCAAGCAGTCACGATGGAGAGAAGCTCTGCGCGGCATTCGTCCTCATTGACCGCATCTTCAGCGTCGCCCTCATCTTCTTCGTGCTGGTCTTGCAGCGCTTCATCGCGCTGAAAGGACTTGGAGATCTCAGCTACGGCCAGCTCGCACACGCCCACCACCTGCTCAGGCCTCAAGGCGTCACCGGCCTGGCACACCAAATCCGCAATGGCCTTCGCCATGGACGCGATGTCATCCGCCTCCTCAGCCTCCGCCATGTCAGACCCCACCTTGTCCACGAAGCTCTGCACCAACTCCCCCAACTCGAGTCGACTCCTCCGACTCGCCTTGGCCACCCTGGCGATCTGCACCCAGCAGGAGTATATCGCCTCGCGCACCTCGGAGGTGATTTGCCAGTGGCTTCCATGGCTGCCATGCAGCATCTTGGCAAGTGCCTGGCTTGTGGGCCGCAGGAAATCCAGAAATCCATCCTCCGTGTACTGCACAAACACCTCGAGCAGCTTGATGAGGGCCACGGCCTCAGTGAGCAAGCCCGTCCTCACCTTGAGCGTGGAATCCCCCCAATGCAGGACCAGGTCATCATCGTTCGTCGCTTGGTCATCTGCGATCACCGCGCCCTCCAACGTCAGTCCTTCCAGTAAGCTTGGCATCAGGCCTGGAAGAAACGGCGCAAAGTCCGGGCCCAAGGCCTTGCAAATTCGGCCCACGGCGTCTCTGGAGCAGTCAGACAGCTCGCGCACGCCAAGCGGAAGCATGGCGTGCAGTGCCGCAGCTGCCGCGGGCTGAAACTTCTGCTTACTGACAGACAAGCCGGCGAGGGAAATACATTCGAAGACCTTTTCGCGGAAGGCAGGGGCCGCGAGTGCCTTCAACAGCAACGGGGTCAATGCATCGTAGTAGGAATCAAAATCCTCCACAGCAATGGCCCAAGCTCCGATAGCCTCCAAAGATGCCACAACTACTTCTGGACAAGAAGACTGCAGCTTTGATATGAGCACCGGTCCGAGTTTGTCTGAGAAGCGGCTTGCCTCACTCTCTGGAAGCTCATGAAGGTGCGCTTCCAATGCGCTGATGGCCTTGGCAGCGACTGCATCCACTGGGTCACCGCATCCCCGCACCAGCACAGGCATGATCTGGTCACACCATCGCTCGTTGTAGCTGAAATCTCGGTCATGGCAAAGCTGGCCCAGAGCAAAGAAGGCCGCTTGGCGCACTTGGGCATGAGGATCGTCCAGCAGCTGCAGCAGGAGCTGCGTCATTTTGTCCGCTGCATCATCATCGGCATGCTCCCCCGCAGCCCGGACCCCGACCGCAGCTGCAACCCTTTCCTTCCAACATTGGCTTGCGGCATGGCGCGGCAGCAGCGATCCCAAGGCGGGTCCGGCAAGCTTGAAGCCTAGCTTCCTTAACAGGAAGTCCACCTTCGCTTCGCCCTCCTTGTGGAGATCCTCGGACTCCAGGTCTTTGAGGAACGTAAAGGCAACACTCATCGCCCGCTCTGGCAACTGCGGCACATCCTCCACAACGCCCGCCTTGGCAGTGGCCAATGTGGTGACCCACTCAAAGGCCAAGAGTTGGCATGAAGTCTCAGCGGTCTCAGCGCACGCCAGCTCTAGCATGAGGTCAATCCAAGCTGCACTTCTGGGTCGGAAAAATGTGGGCTGGATCTCCAAACATGAAATCAATGCCTGCAAAGCCTGTGGCAACCTATCCATGCCACCCAGGACAAGGCTCTTCACGGCCTCTTCCAACTTTGGTAAGGCTTGCTGCAAAGCCTGTAACTTCTCAGAACCCAGCGCCTGAATCATTTCCGAGACCAAGCAGATTGTTTGCGCAGCCAGCTCTTTGGCTGAGAGGCCGTTGGTCAAGATCTCCACCAGCTCAGCCCTGGACAGAATTTCTTCGGCGTGATCGCTCATGAGCTCGGTCAAAAGGCAGATGCCCGCCTGCAAAAAGGCACTTGCCGCAAGTCACTTGCCACAAGTCGCTTGCTTCTCTCTCTCTCTGACCTTGCTTCTCATGCCGTCTCATGCCGTCTGCCGTCTGCGTGCCTCCGCGTTTTGCGTGGTCAAGGCGTAGGCTGCCAGCACAAGCTCCGGCCAAGGCTCCTCGAAGCGCACCGCACCGGCCCGAGCCCTCAGCGCTCGCCCGCGCTCGCCCGCGCTCACCCCGCGTCTCCTGGGCGAGCACCGCCACGACGGCCACCAACACGCCTCGTACTTTGGAGCTGGGCTCGTCCGCCAACGCCTGCCAAATGGAATGGAGAATGAGAAGATCGAGCCTCCGCTCGGCGCGGCCTTCAAGAGCCGGGGTCTCACTGCCATTGCGGCCTGCCCGGTCAAACTCACCCAAGGTGCGATGTCTCCAAACACCGCCTCGGAGCCAGCATGTCCCAGCACAGCCCGCCGCAAGAGCGTCGCTGCCTGGGTAAAAGCTCGAGATTTCCAGCTTCACGAGCCGAAGGGCACAAAGTTAGCTCGAGTCTCCTGAAGGCGCACCACCTCCTCCTGGTTCAAGATGCAACCAGTAAGGCAAGCCTTAGCTTCAAACGAGCACGTCCAGCTTGGGCAATCGTGCACGCGTTTAAGTGCAACCAGCTGGCAAAAACACCGCGTGGATCTGCGCTGCAAGCATCCGCATACCTTTCCAGGCCCAATCCCAGGAAGCTATGTGCCAGTGGTGACAGCCTCACCTTATGAAGCTCACCTGAAAACACGGCCGTGCAACAGTACAACTGCTTTTGGCTGTTGTTGAAACAATGAAAAACCTGCTGCTTATTGGCCATGTTGCCTCTTCTCCGCATCAGATCGGGCAGTATTGTCCGCGCTTCGCAGTTGTGCAAGCAAAGCGATGAACGCTTCCACCTCATCTGGCAAGTGTAGAACTGCATGCCGCATCGGTCCCTGGAGCAGCTAATCTCTGGCAGCATGTTGATTCTGAGCAAGTGGCATCTGCTTCTGACGCCATCAGGTAGCATAAACAGAAGCCAAAGAATCAAAAAGATCAAAAGAAGCTGTGAGCGCCCACGTTCTGAAACGTAGGCTGGTCAGCTATAGGCGTGCCTCTCCCGTTGGCTTGAGAATGACAGTCTGCAAGATTTGAATTGAGCCAAACCCCGGCGGTATGACCTCACAGGCATTGCCATGTGTTCTCACACAGCAAAAAAATACGCGCTGCGCAAACGCCATTCGGGTGTCTCTTTTTTTGGGGGACCCCAAAAATGGCGGCTTTCCTTTTGATTGCCCTTTGTGAACACCCCAAGAACGGGTACCATGGGCACCCTCAAAAAAGACAAACCCACTACTTGACATCATTCGATTCTGGGGCTGCTGCGAGGTTGGCGGCGGTTTCACACCTCAGGAACGTCGGTCGCACCAAGCCCAATCACGGGTCACGAGAAGGCACGCAGCCAGGGCCTTTTTCGAACTGCGAAGCAATGGGCATGGTCTCTGACGGCTTGGGGTTCCCAACGCCTCCGGGAATGCAACTATCCCCGCATGGTCTAAAGCCTGAAACGATCAGAGCGTCTGCATCTCCGGCCTGTCCTTTAACGCCCACAGCTGAATACAGAATGTATGTCTCACATGCGCACCACCTCCCGCAAACACTCATGGAAGTGCAAAACTTCGGAATCAAGAGCTCCAAGGCTTTCCTGTACAAACGAGGTCTGGCCCGCCCACTGATGGGTGCGAGCAGTGCCAACACCTTGCGGATGACAAGGGCCAAGGAGGACATTACTCTCCGGTGAGCGAGCTCACTGGCCTCAACTCTCCGTCACCCTTTCCTCGCAGCACTCACTGCAGGTGCATGGAGTGAATCTCAAATCACTTCGCCTGGCGATCAAGTCCCGGCCGGACGGCTGCTCAGCTCAGGTCGGTTTCAGGTGATCAGTCGCGCCTGCTTCTTCTTCTTGTCCTTCGGCGCGGATTCGGCGGCGGCAGCCTGCTTCTCGCGGAACTGCTGCACCATCGCTTTGCCTCTCATACGCGCACCACCCGGCCCACTGCCCCACACACTCCCGGCCCCACACGGACACGGCCGTATACGGCCCCACACGGCCCCACACAGCCGTGTACGGTTATACGGCTCACCTGGAACGCGGCCCGCCTTGCTCAAAGGCAGCCATCAGGGCAGCCTTGGGGTCCTATCGCGGCGCATTGCGGCGCACTGCGCACGTCTCCCTGAGCTCCAGCAAAGCATGGACCAGCAAGAACGTGTTTTGACCACGTCGTCATATCGTCCAAGTCATCAACTCGTGGACCTGGACGCACTGCCAGGAGCTGCCAAATGTGCCGCCCACAAGGCAATGAAACTGCCCGCACTTGACATTGCATCTTGATGCGCGGAACATGCTGTCATCAAAGGCTCTAACCCCCCTCCACCCCGCGGTTAACTCGGAACGCAGCCACCCAGCAAGGCAAATGAAAGGAAACAAGCAAGCAAGCGTATGCCAAGCATGAGCGAACCCCACAAAAGCCCGACACCCCACAACAGAGGAAAGCCACTGCAACAACCACATAACCCCAGCCCGGAGTGGGGCCAAACCTTACCCAAGTCACGGTCCCGGTCCTTCTCAATCTGGTCCATGACTTCTTCTGGGATCTTCTTCTTTGCCTCGCATCCGAGCCGTCCGAGCAGTCGCGTGTTTGAGGCATGCTTGCCTTCTGGTAGGTTGGGTCAATGATCATGGTGTAGACCTGTCAGGCTTGCCACAAGCTCTTGTAAAACGGGCCAGGCGGGGCCATACTTCCACAAGGTCCACAGGCCTTTTTCCCACCCTCGAAGAAGAGCATGTACACCTGAAAGCCAGCGTGAGGCCGCCACACAAAGCATTGGCCATTTCTGGGTTGCGCGCCAGGAGGGCAAACCGCAACTCTGTGAAGAACGGGATAAGCCACACGAGGCCACAGGTGATGTTCTCAATTGCGGACAAGATGGTCCACCTGGACAAGGAATGAATTCCCTGGGAGTTGGCAGTTGGTCTTGTTCTGAGCCAAGGCGCGTCACCCAAAAAGCCAGCCTCAGACACGCGCAGCATGAAAGTGAAGTGGAACAAGCGCACAGTAGCTTGCCAAATGGGCAAAGGAGCATGTTGGTGTCGTCGTTCAAGGTCTTCGACTCTAGAGCGCGCATGCTCACCAGCGGCGCATAGGCCGTGACCAGGACAAACTCGATCGGACTCCTGAGAAGCAAGTCGAGGGCTGCGTGTTGGGCTTCTAAACCCGTGCATCTTGCGGCCCGTGTGTTGCAGCCGAGGCGCAAAATGAACCCCAACATCGCGTCGAAGTGCTTCTGATCTCTAGCCCCTGTTGCCCAAACGGCTGCGAAGAGCACGTGCCGCTGCCGGCAGCCACGCTGAACTTACCATTCGCTTCCTAGCTGGCAACCCTTGCAGGTGAATGTGCAACAAAGCGCGCAAGTAGTGCCCGCTTGGATCCCTGCGCGGCGTGCGTCCTGGTGACCAAGACAGCGCGGCTTCCTTGCCTGCTGTGCGTGCTCAAGCTCCTCCGTCTGGTGCCCCTTGCTCACAAGGTCTCTGACCTATCGAATCTCCGCGAGAGCGACTTTTGATGAGGCACTGCTAAAGGCTCTGACCCACTTTTCCGAGGAGCAACAAATCCAACATGGAGGCAAGACCTGCCAAAGACGAGTCATGCCACGTGTGGCCCTCTTTCAACGTGGCCTCCGGGTCACCGCCATGATTCACAGTCCTTCACTGCATCTCATGCAGCGTGAAAGCTGTGCAGATCTGTGCAGGCACACTGGGCGCACACGTCAAAGCAAATGAAGTTTCCCTCCACCAGCTCGCACAACTGGAACACGTCCTGAATCAGTGGATGCGACCGGTTGGCCAGGAAGCCATGGGCAACCCAATGTTGGCGAGTCAGCCCTCACTTGGGCATGGCGCTCTTGCAAAACACCGTCACTTCCCAGCTTGCAGCTTGCTCTAGCCGTCCTCGGGCATCACTGCGTCCCTGCCGTGCAGCTGCATCACTTCCGGACAGTCCACAGTGATGGTGTCGCCGTCCCTGCGTTCGGATTCATTCGGATTCATTCGGATTCATTCGGATTCATGCGAATCGTGAGGATCGACTCTGCCTGATGATCAAGCCCTGGAACTCCCCAAAGCGAACAATGCCATCGCTGGAGTCGGCGCCTGCATTTTGCCGCCGGAATCCGGCACAGATCAGAGCGAGGCCCTGGCCCAAGCGTTTCCAGAATGGTGCAGAAGCCTGTGGCCTCGGGGAATGCGCTGAAGCTATGCAGCTATTTCCGGCTATAGCATGGGCTGCTGACAGGTTGTTTCTGTTCATGTGAACCTTGAAGCAAACCACGTCGTTGATGCTCAGCGCGTCTCAGCATATGCGTGCGCACAGCAGTATTGTCTACGCAAAGAGCAGCTTGGCTCGGCACTAGGCTCCGCCACCGACTGGTGCACGTAGACCTAAGGCTTGCCCGATGCCAACAAAAATGCGAGGCTCGGTGAAACGGTGAAACGGACGGTGAAACCGGCAAGGCCTCGCGTGAGAAGTTCGATGCCGGACATCTTACCAATGAGACCTAAGTTCAGACTCAGACCCTGGCCTGTGCGCAGTGCAGCGGTTTGGGCCCTGACATTTTTGTCCAACTCGACGAGACAAACACGGCCTGCGTGGAAACCCTCCGGCCTGCACGTTGCACACGGGATGCGTGTGCCCAGGATGCGGCATCATGATTTCTTCTTAGGTCCACGCAGCCAATCAATATCCAGCTCATCCACTTGAGTCGCGGATGCCTGGCGTTTGCGCAAAAAGCCGCATCGCGCGATGCCAATCTCCTGCCTTGGCTCCCCAAGTGTCTCCTGAGCGGGCTGTCATTGGCGCATAACCGCGCTTCCCCAGCTCCACTTAAGCGTCTCACGGCCGCTGCCCCCATTGGGCCTAAGTCAGCACCAATCACGGTCAACATAGGGCCATGGGTCAAGACCCCGTACCCCCCGTGAACATCCCAATCCCAACTAAAATAGACTAAAATGGGTTGTGCACCTATCCCAAATGTTACCATTTTATGTGAACCATCTCCATATCGCTGTTCGTGTACGGAAGCTGTCCGCTCTACAATTGAACAAGTAATACTGAAGCGTATCAAGCAACGCTGCTGACAATGTATCGCAAATGTGGAAGGCTACTTGCGAACAAACAGCTGTACGCATCCGGCAGATGTTCCGTTGATAGCCAGTTGAGACCCAAGGTTCCACAAGGAAAGTACCTACCCAGACGTCACCCGGATCCACGCGCCCAAAGTTTCTCATTTGGATGGCGGCTGCTTTGGTGTGCTTTTTCCCCTTCATCGCTGCTTACTATTTCTTTCTTCGTGGCGGTTTGCTTCTCTCCTTGGCGCATGCTGGCGCAAATCGTTAAATCGGTCCCAGCGCTGGAAAACGGGCCTCAAGGCTACTTGGGCCTTTTCCCTTTTCCGCCTACCTTGAGACGTCGAATTCGACACGGCCCGAGGGCCAGGCGCGGGCGCGCCCGGAGAGCTCCTCGGAGCCAAGCTCCAGGTTCTTGGGGCGCCTCGACATGGCAAACGCCGTCCCAAGCTCCAAGTCAAGCCACATACTAAGCTACTTGCCAAGTTGCTTCTTAAGTTTCATATGAAGTTGCTTATGAAGTTGTTTCTTAACGTTACTTACCAAGTTGCTGTTACCCATGAAGTTACTAAGTTGCTTAAGTTGCATCTTAAGTTGCGCAACTTAATTTGCTCATAAGCTCGCTTGCAAGGCGAATTGCCGCCCGCTCCTGGTGCAGAGCTCCAAGTGCGAGGGCCTGCGTCGAAAGTAAACGCCTCAAAGCACAAGTGGCCGATTCTGAGCCTGCACCAGCGGGGGCTTCGGCACGCCTCACCAGCGGTACAGCGCGTTTTTGGCGGTTCAGCGGTGTTTCTCGAGTCAAGTCAAGTCTTCTGTCGATAAAGATGAGCTTCCGACACAGTGCCGCCCTTCGACAGGGTCACCTTTGGACCACCGCCTGTGCACCGACTTGCACCTTGCAACACCTCGTGCCCAAAGCTTGTCATACAAGAAAGCCCCACCAAGATCTGATCTGAAACGCGTCTGCCCGCCTTTGCCGCCCGCACTTATAGCCGGCACAGGCAACCTGAGCGTTCTGCATCAGGATTTGAGCACAAGGGACTTGTGACAATTTATGAGATATGGCCTGCTGATTGGAGCCCAGCTTTGCGGGGCCTACCAAGCTGGCCGGCTCTTGAAAACGTGTTTCGGTAATCCGGCTCCAGATGACTCCAGCCTGGCCACTATCGAAGCTCACTTGAAGCCAGCCTATCGCCGGATGTGAGATAACACAGGTCCCGAGAGCTGATTGAGGGGCTGGCATGGCGCGGAGACCTCGGGCGTGCACTGGATCAAACCCATCTGAACACAGCATTGCCGCATCGCTCGCCTGAGGATTGCCGTCCTTGTTGATGTGAACATCAAAAGCGATCGGGTCCTGACAGCTGAGAAGCCAGAGCGGAGCAATGCGGAGCATGTTCAACCGTCGCTTCAGTTGCTTCAGCTTGCCAACTGTCCTGCTCTTGCAAGCCACACTGTGCAACCACGGAGGCATGGACATAGACCTCGGACTGCGCCGAAGTGTGAGCGACAAAGCAGGCAAAACAAGCCCAAGCGGTACCCGTGTCCCACCGTGTCTAGGGCGACTGGCATCCCGACCTCGGCTTTCAGGACAAACTCATCAAGGTTTCAACGGCGGTATCAACTGTCCTTGGCGCCAGGCCATATGCAGCGCTGGCTTCTGGACCTCACTTGTCGTATAGTCTCTGATGTGAATTGCTAAATGCCCTGAGAGAAGCACAGTCCACGAATCCACTGCCATTGGGCAAGAGTCTTGACAATCTTCCTGAGCATCTGGGATCGACCAAGAACAGCTGACCCTCCCCTGCCTTGATGTGCGGGGAAGTGTGGCAGATTGCCAGACGCAAAGCCTTCGCCAAGCCACTCGTGCAATTGAGATTCGATAAATTCTGCGCCCAAGCTTCCCGCCCACCATCTTGTAAATGCAAAGCGCCTTGGCTGAATCCGACAGAGCCGCATGCCGACCTTTTGCCTTCCCCTTCTTCTCCGAGGTTTCTTCGAATTTGTCGCAAATTGCGAGGCTGGCAGAACGATGATTTATGACTGGCAAGGGATCGCGGCTGCCAGACTGGAAATTGATGAGATCCCATCAACTACTATACCGCCGTTCCAATCAAGCTATCGCCGCCGTTTTCTAGCCATGCCGCCTGGGGCAAGCCTCTGAGATTCAGCGTGAAGGTGAAGGCCACGGCGTCACCAACCTCAAAGGCCTGCACCAAGAGCCCAGCCGTCGGTGCGCATGGCATGTTCACCGACCTGGGGGCTGGCAACCGTGTGAGGTACGTACACATCCGCATCGTACCTGGGACCCCACGAGGCTCGGATGGCTTCTCTTGTCTTAGTCATCTGCTTCCTCTCTGAGTTCTTGAGGTAAATGCCAGTCAGGATTGCGAGACTCCGAGGCGCACCCAGTTTCTGGGCAAGCGATGAGACTAAAGTTCTTAGCCTTGGCTCATGGCAACAAGCCTGCTGCAAGGCAATGGACTTCAAGGACCCATCAAACAAAAAAGAACCTATGCGCCTTCCTGCTGTCTGAGCCCACCGACGTGATCTACCCTTTTCACGGCACCAATCAGGAACTCGTCGGCATTGCCTTCTCACATCAGGGCCACATGCAGGAAATGCAATGGCTAGAGTCTAGAGCCTCGTTTTTTCGAAAAGTCTAACACTTTGCGGGGCCTTGGCCAGCAGCTACCAGCTGCATAGCCCTGCCCGGAATGGCGCCTGGAGACATTGCCGGCACTGCAATGCCGCTGCAATGCGAATCGAGGGTCCAGCCAGCGCCCTTCACGGGCTGGCCGATGCAGCCACTCATCGCAGGGCCTCAGTCGCAGGTGGCGATGTTCAACGCCTTTCCGATTTAAGGGCGCAGCTGGCCCAGCTGTCTATCCGTCGAGCCTGGCGCAAGTGCTAACAGCTTGCGTGGCACTGGCGCTTTGCTGGTTCTGTTGGTGCTTTCTTCCTCGTTTTCGCGTGGCTATGCTAAGTGGCAGTGGGCGGACTTGCCCGCTTGGAAACTGCACGACAAATTCACAAAGGCCTTCAGCATTTCCCCGACAGAACGCGGCCATGAACCTGTGGCACTCGACTGTGGGGAGTTAAAGGTATCTCAGTTCTTCTCTGTTTGGAGTGGGGCCATGGCTGCCTTTGGCACCGCCTTTGCCAGCCCAGCTTGTTCCTGGTGAACGACAGGGTACGCGTGGGCATGTGCGGATGCCAAGCTCTTTGCGCCTTTGGAGCCGTATGCCTCAAACGCATCCGGCTCACGACATCTAAGTCCCCTATCCGACCTGGGGCTCTTGGAGGAAGGGCTCCCGAAGGCGCTTCACGCCGCGCTTCTTCTTCCAGCCTGGTCATATGGAGGCAATCCTTGTCCTCTCTATAGGCAAGCAACATGGACAATGAAGCATTCGTACCAGCAGCCAATCAAAGAATCAAAGGCGCCAGCATGGGGCAGACACCTGGCAGGCAGTTTGCACTCGCGACGGCCTGTGGAGCGCTTGCGCATGCCTGTGGTCGACCAGCAGCGCTGACGTGCACATTGAAGCAGACCCTTGCTGTCCGTCAAGTCTGCCAAGGTGCCATGCCCAAAGAAGTCAAGCCCCAGACTCATCGCCAGGCATCAGCCCACATTGTTCCATGACCTGAACTGCCAGCAATATGAGTGCAGCTTGGCAAAGTCCATGAGCCGGGCGGTACTGTGGACATATGCATCTTGGTCGTAGAGCTCCTTGCTTTCAAGCTTGCAAACAAACGGCCAGGAAATATTGATATGGAAAGAACTAGTCGCTGCCTTCACCTCGTTGCACTCAATGAAGCCGCAACCATTCTGCAAGATCTGCTTCACCTCTGCGTCACTCTCAGTGGGCCGGCCCCACATACGTTCCCTGGGCCCCTGAGCCTGGCCCACGTATTCTCCGAATCCAGGGTCCTCTCCATGCACTCCATGCACTCCCGCGTAAATGCGCGCGGGGTGAGTTCCAGCCTTGTTTTTGGGGCAAAAGCCCACCATCTGCCATTCCGGATCCTTGTCCAAACCAGCTCCGCTCGCATTCGGCTTACGGCTTACGGTGGGGTTGGGAGCCACTCGCACCAAGGCCGCCGCATCCTGCATGGCCCAAGATCTGCCACCCCGCTACATGAAGCCAAAGCTTGAGATTCGGCCAAACCCATGCCACCCCCGGGCCAGTGCACAACTATGCACAGCCGAGCACTTTGGCAAACGCGCACGTTTGGAGCCCTCCGCTTCAAATGGCAATCAGCGCGCCTCGGTGTGCCCGCAAGCCGCAAGTGCTAAGTGATGGGCTTCCAACTGGGACGAGGGAAAGCAGGGGCTCAAAAGTTGGCGACTCAAGTTTCGCGCGCCAGGTCTTGATTTCATTTGGCTTTCAGACTCAAGCTGGTTGCAAGCAGGCTGATGCCGCTCGCCGGGAGGCAGCGTCAGCAGTCGAGTTGCAGCTTCCTGGCGACTAAACGCGTGTCAGGATCGGAGGTCCGACATCCGACAAGGCGGGCGCACCAGGCGGTTCCCAGCAGGCGCTGAGGCTTCTTGATTCTGACCACCTGGTCATGTCATTCGCTCTCGTGTCCTCGTTTCTGACTTCTGATGGCCGACGGTCTCAGTCTCCAAGTTTCCGGCCCATGCGTTGTTGCGAGTTGGGCTGTTGGTCACCTGCTTTGGATCAGAGGCTCAAAAAAACAACAACCCAACAAGTGGCCAAATGGCCTCCAGCGCTGTTGGCGAGTCCCCCAGTCGGGTGCTCCGCGGGGCAGATTTCAGCCTGAATGCGCAGGCCAATGCATGCCAGTGGTGCCTCCCTCAGGATTCAACCGTGTATCTTGCCCCTGCAAGTGCCCGGCCCCACAAAGATTATTCGCTCAATCACGGCGCTCTGCGACATCAAGCCTGTCAGGGGACGCATAGATGCATCCCTCAAGGCTTGCCTACAATATGCTTCCCCCTTCTGGCCCTCTTGCCTCCAGTGGCTGCGCCCACTGCATGCAAACTCTGTCCAGGCCTGAGCAAAAACTCAATTCTTCGGCTGCAAGAGGGCTGGGAACCGATACTACCTCAGCCTTGGTATGGCTTTCTGCCGACGGTCGCAACATCTCAGCTGCTCATCCAACGTGAGCTATTGGCCCGTTCCTTGGCCCTTCGAATTGAAGCTATGAGCGTCTGCCTTGTTCCCGGAGCCTTTGGGGGCTGTCCCAGGCTCGCGGGTTAAAAGCGAATCGATTCACCAGGCGTCTGCATCTCGAGCCTGTTCTTTAACGCCGGCTGAAGCTATGTCTCACCTGCGCAGCACCTCATGCAAACGCCAGTGGAACTGCGAATTCCGGATTCAGCCCTCTGCGTCAGCTTTTTCCGATCGTTTCATTTCTGGGAATCGGTTGCACCAAATGCACGCTGCACAATGCGTGACGCAGCGACAAAGGATCCACTCACTGCAGGTGCATGGAGTGAACCTCAAATCACTTCGCCTGGCAATCAAGTCCCGGCCGGACGGCTGCTCAGCTCAGGTCGGTTTCAGGTGATCAGTCGCGCCTGCTTCTTCTTCTTGTCCTTTGGCGCGGAAGCGGCGGCGGCAGCCTGCTTCTCGCGGAACTGCTGCACCATCGCTTTGCCTCTCATACGCGCACCACCCGGCCTACTGCCCCACACGGTCCCGGCTGGCGGCCACACGGACACGGAACGCGGCCCGCGCCTTGCTCAAAGGCAGCCATCAGGGCAGCCTTGGGGTCCTATCGCGGCGCATTGCGGCGCACTGCGCACGTCTCCCTGAGCTCCAGCAAAGCATGGACCAGCAAGGACAGCAACCAACGTGTGCTGACCACGTCGTCATATCGTCCAAGTCATCAACTCATAGACTGCCAGGAGCTGCCAAATGTGCCGCCCACAAGGCAATGAAACTGCCCGCACTTGACATTGCATCTTGATGCGCGGAACATGCTGTCATCAAAGGCTTGGGCTTGTTTGCTCTAACCCCTTTCCACCCCGCGGCTAACTCGGAACGCAGCCACCCAGCAAGGCAAATGAAAGGAAACAAGCAAGCAAGCGTATGCCAAGCATGAGCGAACCCCATATGAGCCCGACACCCCACAACAGCGGAAAGCCACTGCAACAACCACATAACCGCAGCCCGGAGTGGGGCCAAACCTTACCCAAGTCACGGTTCCGGTCCTTCTCAATCTGGTCCATGACTTCTTCTGGGATCTTCTTCTTTGCCTCGCATCCGAGCCGTCCGAGCAGTCGCGTGTTTGAGGCATGCTTGCCTTCTGGTAGGTTGGGTCAATGATCATGGTGTAGACCTGTCAGGCTTGCCACAAGCTCTTGTAAAACGGGCCAGGCGGGGCCATACTTCCACAAGGTCCACAGGCCTTTTTCCCACCCTCGAAGAAGAGCATGTACACCTGAAAGCCAGCGTGAGGCCGCCACACAAAGCATTGGCCATTTCTGGGTTGCGCGCCAGGAGGGCAAACCGCAACTCTGTGAAGAATGGGATAATCCACACGAGGCCCCAGGTGATGCTCTCAATTGCGGACAAGATGGTCCACCTGGACAAGGAATGAATTTTGCTGGGAGTTGGCAGTTGGTCTTGTTCTGAGCCAAGGCGCGTCACCCAAAAAGCCAGCCTCAGACACCCGAAGCATGAAAGTGAAGTGGAACAAGCGCACAGTAGCTTGCCAAATGGGCAAAGGAGCATGTTGGTGTCGTCGTTCAAGGTCTTCGACTCTAGAGCGCGCATGCTCACCAGCGGCGCATAGGCCGTGACCAGGACAAACTCGATCGGACTCCTGAGAAGCAAGTCGAGGGCTGCGTCTTGGGCTTCTAAACCCATGCATCTTGCGGCCCATGTGTTGCAGCTGAGGCGCAAAATGAACCCCAACATCGTGTCGAAGTGCTTCTGCTCTAGCCCCTGTTGCCCAAACGGCTGCGAAGAGCACGTTCGCTTCCGTGCTGGCAACCCTTGCAGGTGTGGGTTCATCTGCGCACCTTTGAAAATCAGTTCATCTGCGCACCCAGCGAAGCAGGGTCAACCGCGCACCGAGAATTCAGTTCATCCGCGCAGCTGACTGCCCCGTTTCTGTGCACTTTTGCTACAGATGGATCGCCTCGCTTTAGGATTCACTGTACCCTGGAAACCAATGCAGGAGTTTAACTCATGCCAACGGAATGCAGGAGTTTAACTCCCATGCAGGAGTTTTACTTTCAGGCTGGAATCACCTGGCTCGAGGGGGGGCAGGGCAGCAATTTAATCCATTTTTCATGCATGCACATGTATATATACATTGCATTGTTTGGTTGCAGGCTTCATGAGCGCCACATGGATGCATCCAGGGGCAAGGTTCGGGTTGATGCCATGGTGGGATGTTGAAGGCCCTTCGGAAAAGCGCGCTACTTAGATCGCAAAAACATGTGCATGCAATGCAAGTTGCATTTTGCAATCATGCCGTGATCGCTCAGGGAAACGGGATCTTCAACTGAGACGAGGCGATCATCAAGAAGGTGCCACTCATGCATGCACACACATGCATGGTGTGGTATCTGATTTGCCCTTTGGTCGATCAACGATTTTCAACCTCAATCATTTTTAAATGCTGTCGCACAAAGGGCAAAATCACAAAGTGCCCTGCACACGCATGCATGCATGATTCTGCATTTTATCTCAGCCTCTGTGGGTTTTTTCAACATGTCACAAGATCAAGATACCCCAAGCTGTATGCCATTTACAAGGTTTGGTGGCACACATCCCAGCCCTGTGGGTTTTTTCACTTTCGGGGTTGCGCTCGGGTTCACCATGCCGACCTCGAAGCCCTGCCAGCGGCGAAAACTCATGCTGAAGGACAGTTTCCACCGGGTAATTGTTGTTTGCATGCATGCACGCATGTGTTAACTTATTTCAAGAAATGCAGGACTTCTACACCGACTACCTCAAGACAAGTGACTTCCGCTGGAACCGGATGGCGTTCTTAGCCCAAAAGCAGGGGATCAGCGAAGCCAAGCTCACACGCTCGTTGGTGGACGGCGCAGACATCCCGGCATGCTTTCATCCCAAATCGGCTAGCTCTTGCTGCATTGCATCCGCGAAGCTTGGGCTTTGGGGGTTGCATTTGCACTTACTGCGATCAATGTGACAGATTAATTTGTTTGCATTCACATGCTTATGCACGCACACGCATGTTATGTTGCCAGGTGCCGGTGGAGTTCTCCTTCGTGGGTGTTCACGCAGAGAGGGGCATCAATGAGGACATGGCACGCCCGTCCTGTTTGCTGTGTGCGTATTCATTGTCGCTCACCCCGCATTCTGTGCCTCCCTCACTCCCCCATGGCCAACATTCACAGTCCACACACGTTGGATTCAATATGCAGGGAGTCAATCTGCATGCAAATGATAGCACGGGCGTGCGTGGTACTTGATATGACGGCATGCGTGTGGGGCGCCAGATGCAGAAAGACGTGAACACGCGCTTCCTCATGCAGTGGCTGCCAAGCTTTGCGCTGGACGTGCCAACGGAGAAGGAAAAAAAGGCCTCATCGATCGAATTGCCTCCATGTCTGATGTTTTTTTTGTTGGTCGATGTATGCCTGGCCTAGCATGCAGGAAGCTCTGGCGGAAGTGGCCGTCGAAATGCGGCTTGTGAGCAGCAAGAAGGTTACCTCTGATGTGCTGGAGAGATGTGGGCTTGCTTATTTGATCAACGATTTGCCCCAAGCAACATTGCAATCAAAAAGAAACACATCACATGCATGCATGCATGCATGCATGTTGCAATTCGAAGTAGATGTCAGATGATTGAAATGTTCACACATGCAACGCGCACAGTACGTACTGTGGCTGTAATGCTGTGTGGACAGGAGTGGGCACAGACAGAAGGAAACCTGCACCGCGCCCTTGCGAGCAAGATCTTGGCGAACTACGCCAGGCGAAAATCAGCGAGGCCCGTGATATGCATATTCGTACAACACGCACGTCGGGAACACATTGAAGCAAGCGGCCAGGTCCAAAGAGGGCAACATGCACAAGCTGAAGACGCTGATCAGAATGATCTTTGAGGACAGCATGCCTAGATCATGCATGCATGGATGCATGCGTGTGCGGGGTTCTGCAATATGACATGTTTCACTTGTGTGCATGCATACATGCGGCATGCCACCAGGAGCACGGCATTTTGAAGCGCGCCAAATCTATTCGCAAACCTGTCAAGGCTCCACAGTGTTGGAATTTGCAGTTTGCCTTGCATGATCTTGCATGCATGCATGCATGC